GGGAGCCAGTGACTACTGCCAAGTCACACACTGAATGAAAAACCTCGCAGCAGCCTAGACAGACAGTAATGGACAGTGGGACAGACACCAAAAGGTCAGTTGGAATGGGAAAACAATTACTGTAAAAAAAAAAAAAGGTTTTTTTTTTCTTTTTAGAGTCGTGCATAATCACTCGGGTTTTTTTGATTTTTTTTTTCTTTCTCTTTTTGTTTGGCCACATGCTACCAGTACGATTCTCAGTACAAGTGAAAAGAAACAAGGTAGGGTTAGAATACCTAAAAATGTGCTGAAGGAGTCGGGAAGGCAGGGGATGGTAAGCCACAGGATTACATACAAGAGAAACTGTCAAGAATCACAAAGAGAAAATGAGAGGTAACACTTCATCTATCAGAAGGTGAGTTAGGGAGAACAGATGAGAACATTACATGGACTCAGTACTTCAGCTGGCCCGTGCGTCTCCGAGCCAGTTTTGACCTGCACGAGAAAGAAATGGAGAAGTATTCGTTGAATTCTGGAAGTTTGTTTTTCTTCCCTTCCCACAGTTTGCCCACCCTTTTTTTTTTTTTTTAAATCCTTTTGTATAGTCCTCCTTTACCCCATATGCTTGCTAAATCTTACTTTCTAAGGGCTGTAATGAAAAAGGACTCTCACTTCTGCCGTGCTCCTTTAAAGGAAGACTGGAACTTTTAAGGACTGCACTGTTAAGACATCATTTAACACCGCACAGCAATAGCTTAGTGGGTTTTTTGTTTTGTTTTGTCTGAAAGGAAGGGCTACTGTAGCATTGCAGAACCTCTCCAGCTAGCAGGGGATGTCTGTGACCTGTGTGAAAGGGAAGGCTTCTAGAGAAGTTCAAAAAAGGGAAGGAAATGAGAATTTCGGCTTTAGCCCACAGGCAAGAGACTGAAAAGGCAGCCCAGAGCCGCCTGCACACAGGCTGTAAGAAGCTTTATAAGTTTTGTAAAAGAGCAGCATAAGGTGGCCTCCAAGTGCAATTGCATGATGCATGGCACACATGTTCAAACGGGGTACGTCATAAGAACATCACAAGCCACAGCAACAGCCTCTGCACTTCCTGGAACACAGGGCTGGTTCGATTTTGGTGTTTTGCCCACCCCCCTCCCTCCTTCAGTTCACCCAGCCTGCCAGATTCTCCAGAAGAGGATTAAACTGTGTGACAAACTACCTGCCTCCTTGCTTACGACCGTCTCCCTCTCCCTACGCACTGCAGCATCGTCCCCCAGGAGCTGCCTCTTACCGTATTGTGCCAGCCAGGAGGGGGTTGAAGGCATATAACCAGTCATTCATGTCCTTGTCGTTGATGGCCTGGAGCAGGACCCCACGATGCTTTGTGCACACACCAAATGTGTTGGGTGTCTGCAATATTAAGGACAAATCAAAATACTGAAGTCTCCAAGCACAGAAACTGATGCACATTTCATCCCTCAGGAAGAGTTTGCGATGTCCCGTTCCTAAACGCCACAAGACCTGAAGTCTTTCATTTAAAATTCACCGGTCATTTCCAGATTAGGCAGTCAAACGGGGCATCTTCTACAAAAATACAGTTTTAACTCACAAGTCTGGATTCTCAGAGCTGCTGGGTCAGACCAGTGAGGTTAATTTGATTCCTTGCAGGGTGTTTGTGTGTGTTGGGTTTTGGTTTTAGAAAGAAACAAAGCACACCACCCCAAAACACCACACAAACAAAACTACAAAAGCCGCACACAGAGGGTGATGGTACCAACACACGCCCGTACAAGCAAATACGATGCGTAACAGCAGTCAGCTTCGCTCTCTTGTAGAACTGTGTCCAAAGCAAAAGAAACCCCAAACAAACCAGGAGCTCTGGGGGCAGAATCACCAGATGCCAGACATTCTCCAACACATGCATTTTCCTCAGACAGCACGGTGCGGATGCACTACGACCCGTAACATTCCTGCTCTCAGACTGACCTTCACCATTGCCTGTTGGTCCTCACTGTATTCCACCTGAGCTGTGGATAAGTTTATGATTCCTCTTTCTACAGGATCTTTGTCACTGTTGTAAATAAAAACATAGGGACGACGAACCACCACAAAGTGCTTGGCCCAGGAGCTGGAGAGTGGTTCCTTGAAGTGGAGGTATCCTTTCTTTGAGACCACAGAGCTGGAAAAAAACAAACCAAAACAAACCCACAGTTAAACAGGAATACATTTTCCCTTAAATAAGGCACCTACTGAGTATCTATTAACTGTAAAATACCATGTAAGACACTGGGTTCTTAATAGCCGACTTGTCTGCAACAGTACGACAAGAAAGTTCTGCAGCAAGCTGAATTTTGTCTCAAGGAACTACGTCCAAGTCTGACAGAAAGGAGGACCCACAAAGATCTCTATTTCAGTGAGCTTCAGCCACAGTTTTGATGATAACAGACGTTTAAGTCACTAGAAATCCTGTTCATTATGTAGGTGCAGAGAATGAATACTGCAAAGATGGAATATCATCCCAACCTTCACCAGTTCTGCCTCCATCGCACAGGCCTCTGCAGCTCTGCCATCACCTGTTTAATTTACCTTCCTCAAATGGGGCAAAGAATTTACAAATCTCAGAACATCCCTGTGACCGCTGTCAGGAAGCCACGATCACACGACAACACAAAACTTACCCTGGTCTGATTTCCTCAATATCAGGAACGAGGTTTAGGAATTCATTCTTTCCAGCTCTGGCAAGATAGGATGTTTCTACCGCAGGAATTATCTGGAACTGCTCCACCTCATGACAGGGACTGGAGGCACGAGAATTTGCTTCTGGTGTCCTTTAAAAACACAGAGAAAGAAAAGTAAATCACAACAAACCAACTGAATGTGAAAATGGGATTTCAAGTGCATCTACAGCCTGGCCTGTCTCACAAGTTCCATCCTCCAGCCCAGAATTTTTGTATGACATTGGGAGCCTTTTGTACAATATCAAATAGCATTTCCGTTGAAATCTATGGAATAAAAGTTAGAATAACTGCTAACAAGTTGTTTCCCTACTCCTTCTCCCTCATTTCTCTTGCCAAACAGAGTCACAACACAGACATATGTCTTACTGTGGTTTGATGTAAATGTACTACTTTGTCTGCACTCCTCCTCTCAGGGATGTTAAACTGAGCAAGTACAAATGCCATGTCTTTCACTAAGTAGTTACTCCCAATTTCACCAAAAATACCTTCTATAAATACAGCTGAGAAAGATAAACAGTGATTACTGGCCCAACTGGTTTATTCTGGGCTGTTGTTAGTAGGTCTTTTCAGCAGACCTCGGGGACTCTACACACTGAGGATGCACTGGTGACTGGAATGACCCTCATCTGCCTGTTCTTTCAGCACAAAGGAAAAAAAAGCTTCAAAAGAACAGAATGGGGAAAGATAATTGTACAGAGTGACTGGAGAAGATAAGGCAAAGGAGGCTGTACAGAGAAATATCTGAAAGTAGGGAGAAGGAAGAAAGGGACAGAAAAAGTAAGTCAGAAAACACAGGAAAGACTGACCTGTGAAGCACTGGAAGGACTGTTTTTCTACTAACCCCCTACACTTACTTCTGATCGACTGAATTACACCGTGAGTCCACCAGAGAGGGGCAGGTAGACGAAGGGGTGAGGGTGGCACTGCTGAAACTCGACACTGATGGGTCCCGCCCAATGGGGGAAATATCCGACAACTGCAACGACAAATACAGGCCAAGTACTACAGGGGAGGCTTTTCCTGTAGCTATCCAACACAGCATTCAGCATGCAGAAGGCCCAGATAATAGAATCCTATCAGCCATTTCCCTGCTCCGTGGTCTGATCTGTGCTCACAGTCATCACAGACCCATCTGGGGGTGAAAATGCAGTGGCATTTCCGTAGGCACGGCTTGTTATCCATGTCCTACACTTCTGACTGCTCACACCCCAACTTCCTCAACAGAGTATTAGACTATCCAGTTTGCAACTTGGCGACCCCTGTGCTTAGAGTCAGAATTTTAACATAGCCAATTTATCCTTTAAAATAGGGAAAGGGTATGAAAAAAGAGCGCTTCCAGTCTGCCAATAAACTAGAAGCTACACTACAGTCCCAGTTCACACCATTTCAAATCCCTGCAGTAGTCTTTGCAACCTGATGCTGAAGAGCCAAAAGCTTCCAACAGACTGAAAATAAAGAGAATTAATATATTTTGCCTCTTCATAGTATCAACAGACTCCACAAACTACAAATATATTGTTAGTGTACTACAAATATAGTGTATTGCATGAAATATTTACCTTACAATCGCTGATGCTGTTGTACACCTGGTTAAATTCCCGATTGAAAGTGTGAGTAAGAAGCTGCAGACACTGAGGTGGGGAGGGGAAGAAACAAACGACACACAGAGAAAAAGAATTTTACAGTTAGATTGTCAGAGAAATTGGAACACAAGGGGCAATTTGCCAAGGCACACTTGGCAGCTCACGAAAGAATAAACAAATTCTAAACCGCTGTGAAAAATCCCAGAAGATGGGAATAATTACTTCCCTTGATAAAATCAGACAGTTTTGTTTACAGAAGTACTGATGAAGGGGAAGAGGTACAGCCACAGCACAAACCCAGCCACCAGCACCGGCTGGTGAGAATGGACCACGTCAGGGCAGAGCACACGAAACCACCCAATACTGGATATTCACCATGCCATCTGAGCAGCTCATCAACCACCTTTCACCTCAGTATAGACCTGAGATGCTTGTCTCATGTCCTACCTTGGTGGCCAGCTCTTTCTCCCGATCCACCAGGCTCTCTATGTCGGCCGAGTCATAGCCGCTGCTCTCACTGGGCGTCACAGCGCTCTCAAACGTTGTGGTCGAAATCTGTGAGGAAATACTGGTGGAGGTACTGAGGGTTCCACTGCTCATGCTGGGAGACAACGAGTCACTCAGGGACTTGGGGATGCTGTCACCAAGCTTTTCACGAAGCAGAAGAAAATGTCGGGTTTTTTCCACCTAGTGAGAAAAGAAATCGGTATCATCTGCTCCCGGATGCTGCCTCTTTTACAGGCACTGAATTCTTAGGCATTCTTTTAAGACTCATACCAGCAAACATCTTCCTTAGGAACGGGAGTTTACAATGGCACTAGAAGCTGAAGCTGCCTTTGTTGAATACACCGAGGTTCTGAGCTGAAGATTCTACTCAGCAGCCACCCACACACTTTCTGTCTTCTCTGCTGGAGAATCATAGAATCACAGAC